GTTTTATTTAAATCTGACCAGAGCTCGCATCCAAACATAGATTTGGGTAAGGACACCATTTTTAACAATTTCGAACTTGTCAGCGGATTGAGGCCTTTACAGTCACAACCTACTCGCTGAAGGGCCATGGTGCTTGCTTTCAATTTGGAACAGGCATTTATGGTTCTGTCCCAAGAATTCATATTGTGATCCAGTTCTATTCCAACATGTTTGGCACAAGGTACCTCGGGTATATCTTTGCCGTATAGTGAACGATGACAAGGGCTCATTGATTTAGAACTTGAGAATGTCATTACACTACTTTTGGCTGCTGAGAATGAAAATCGCCATTCTGCACTATATGTTTCACATATCTTGATCATTTCTTGTAGGTATGATGTGATGGGACTAATGAGAGTAATATCGTCAGCCTGAGTTGGTGAGGCAAGGGATTGCCTAAAAGTCGGGCCGGGCCGGGCCAAGACGGGCCAAAGTGTTATTGGCTAATTACTTCATTATCGGCGATCATATCTACATATTATTGATGCAACATACACACATGACACTACTGAACAATCACCAATCCAAAACGTGCAGCATAATTCAGTAATTCGGACTAAATCACTTAAAAACTAGAAAGTGGAGCTATGTGTTAGCGTCGCTGATCTAGGTAACATGTAAAAGAGCAATCGTTAAACGAAATAGGATTTGACACGTATCAAATACTTCTAGCTTTCGTGATACGAATTTCCATCTGTCGGCATAGCGTTTATATTATAGGAACGTACTATATCTAAGTAAATACCACTTTATAACGTCAATGTTCATCGTATTTAAAGCAGACACGTTGGTTAAAGTAGACCTCTTCTCCCTATACTCTCGACAGTCACACAGTTCGCTCCGACTTGGCCCGGGCTGTCAAAATCAACTTTAAACAGACAGATGTATCTTCAAATGTGATTAAATCTATAGACCAGTGTTATATCTACCTATACACCAATTTATAATGTCACATATCGCAGTATTTCTAGAAAACAAGGGGCTCAAGTGAAGCCCTTTTCCCCTCTACATTCTCAACATAGTCTCTATCAGAAGTGTTTGGTTTGTGTTGGGTCCGACTTGGCCCGGGCGGTCAAAATCATCTTTAAACGCACAGATGTATCTTGAAATGTGATTAAATCTATAGATTAGTGTTATATCTACCTATACACCAATTTATAATGTCCAGGTGTATCGCATTTAAAGAAATCTGCGCCGTTAAAGTGAAGCATTTTTACTGTATTTTCTTAAAAAAATCCAAGTCAGAAATGTTCGGTCCGACCTGGCCCGGGCTGTTAAAATCAACTTAAACCTCACAGATGTATCTTGAAATGTGATTAAATCTATAGACCAGTGTTATATCTACCTATACACCAATTTATAATGTCCAAGGTATCGCATTTAAAGAAATCTGCGCCGTTAAAGTGAAGCATTTTTACTGTATTTTCTTTAAAAAATCCAAGTCAGAAATGTTCGGTCCGACCTGGCCCGGGCTGTTAAAATCAACTTAAACCTCACAGATGTATCTTCAAATGTGATTAAATCTATAGATTAGTGTTATATCTACCTATACACCAATTTATAATGTCCAGGTGTATCGCATTTAAAGAAATCTGCGCCGTTAAAGTGAAGCATTTTTACTGTATTTTCTTTAAGAATCCAAGTCAGAAATGTTCGGTCCGACCTGGCCCGGGCTGTTAAAATCAACTTAAACCTCACAGATGTATCTTCAAATGTGATTAAATCTATAGACCAGTGTTATATCTACCTATACACCAATTTATAATGTCACAGATCGCAGTATTTCTAGAAAACAAGGGGCTCAAGTGAAGCCCTTTTCCCGCTACATTCTCAACATAGTCTCTATCAGAAGTGTTTGGCTTGTGTTGGGTCCGACTTGGCCCGGGCGGTCAAAATCAACTTTAAACGCACAGATGTATCTTCAAATGTGATTAAATCTATAGATTAGTGTTATATCTACCTATACACCAATTTATAATGTCCAGGTGTATCGCATTTAAAGAAATCTGCGCCGTTAAAGTGAAGCATTTTTACTGTATTTTCTTAAAAAAATCCAAGTCAGAAATGTTCGGTCCGACCTGGCCCGGGCTGTTAAAATCAACTTAAACCTCACAGATGTATCTTCAAATGTGATTAAATCTATAGACCAGTGTTATATCTACCTATACACCAATTTATAATGTCACAGATCGCAGTATTTCTAGAAAACAAGGGGCTCAAGTGAAGCCCTTTCCCCTCTACATTCTCAACATAGTCTCTATCAGAAGTGTTTGGTTTGTGTTGGGTCCGACTTGGCCCGGGCGGTCAAAATCAACTTTAAACGCACAGATGTATCTTCAAATGTGATTAAATCTATAGATTAGTGTTATATCTACCTATACACCAATTTATAATGTCCAGGTGTATCGCATTTAAAGAAATCTGCGCCGTTAAAGTGAAGCATTTTTACTGTATTTTCTTAAAAAAATCCAAGTCAGAAATGTTCGGTCCGACCTGGCCCGGGCTGTTAAAATCAACTTAAACCTCACAGATGTATCTTCAAATGTGATTAAATCTATAGACCAGTGTTATATCTACCTATACACCAATTTATAATGTCCAGGTGTATCGCATTTAAAGAAATCTGCGCCGTTAAAGTATAGCATTTTTACTGTATTTTCTTTAAAAAATCCAAGTCAGAAATGTTCGGTCCGACCTGGCCCGGGCTGTTAAAATCAACTTAAACCTCACAGATGTATCTTCAAATGTGATTAAATCTATAGACCAGTGTTATATCTACCTATACACCAATTTATAATGTCACAGATCGCAGTATTTCTAGAAAACAAGGGGCTCAAGTGAAGCCCTTTTCCCTCTACATTCTCAACATAGTCTCTATCAGAAGTGTTTGGCTTGTGTTGGGTCCGACTTGGCCCGGGCGGTCAAAATCAACTTTAAACACACAGATGTATCATCAAATGGATTAACATCTATACCGGTTTCAATTATCATTGGGGTGAGTTTATGATGACTGATTATTCATTAGTACGTGCGTGGAACAGTCCTCATAATGTGCAAAATGTTACTTCCTTTAACTGCTAAAAGATATGATATGAAGACGTCTCCTACCTTAAACCTCTCAATGTCCCAGAGGAGATCGGGGACGTCAGCCACCTTGGCTCCTGACAGAGATCTCGTAACTATGTCTTCTCTCTCAGTGTACCGTCCAAGATATTTGACCAAAGAGTCGCCAATGAGTATGGCAGTCATTTCTGATCGTGATATTTGGAATAGGATGTCAGTGCGCTACATCGTCACTTATATAGGGTAACACTTGGAGATGGTAAGGTGAGACACTTTGGATTTCAGGATAAACCTCTCCCTCAACCCTGCTTAATGCTTCTATTAGCTGTGTGTTTAGGAAAACAGGATTATCTGAGACAGTTGTAATCTGCCATACCGCGAGAATACATGCTGCATCTCCGAGCAGCCATTTCCGACAAAGCTCGCACTGTGAAAACACACTTCTCCTGAACCTGACTTGGACCACTCAGTATTATGGTCGTGATGGTTAAAAGACGCCGTAAATTCAAGTTCTATATATATCTAGGAACTTTGTTTTTACAGTCGTGATGTTTAAGATGATTAACCACCCGGGTCAAGTCGATCCGACGGGTAGAATGATACGCAGGATGCAAAAGGAGGTAAACCCAAGTACAGTACATTGGCCAAATTGGTGTCACATTTACACGGACGGATCCTCAGATCCGACCTCCAAACACACAGGTTTCGGAGTCCATACCACACAACCAACTAAAACCACACAATCCTTCCGACTCCCAAACAACCAATCAATATTCACGGCAGAACTAATGGGCATGGCCTCAGCCCTCCATAATCAAGAATCCAAAGAACACCAAAAAATCCTAATACTTACCGACTCAATGCTTCAATTTAACGGCGCAGATTTCTTTAAATGCGATACACCTGGACATTATAAATTGGTGTATAGGTAGATATAACACTAATCTATAGATTTAATCACATTTGAAGATACATCTGTGCGTTTAAAGTTGATTTTGACCGCCCGGGCCAAGTCGGACCCAACACAAGCCAAACACTTCTGATAGAGACTATGTTGAGAATGTAGCGGGAAAAGGGCTTCACTTGAGCCCCTTGTTTTCTAGAAATACTGCGATCTGTGACATTATAAATTGGTGTATAGGTAGATATAACACTGGTCTATAGATTTAATCACATTTCAAGATACATCTGTGCGTTTAAAGTTATTTTGACCGCCCGGACCAAGTCGGACCCAACACAAGCCAAACACTTCTGATAGAGACTATGTTGAGAATGTAGAGTGAAAAAGGCTTCACTTTGAGCTCTGTGTTTTGTTTAACTACTGAAATATGAGACAATAAAGTGGTAAATAATTAGATACAATACTAGTCTTTAGATATAAATAATGTTAGGAACTTTAGAAGTGCTTGGACAGTTATTAACACGTGTCGTGTCAGTCTTTTGACATTCGCGAATATCCACTTCCAGAAAACATCCTGTGTTGGTTTTACACGAATTAGTAAAGGTTAATTACCTTAACACGTTAATTAATGAAAGAATAGTAGTCAAAACACTGTGGTTTCCTGCCCAGGACATCACACCCCTACACGCTAAGGTCGGTGAGAAGCATTCTAATCAAAGAATACACACAGTCAAAACGCTGACTTTTCTACGAGACTCACGGTATGTAGTCATAATCATCAGTTAAATACATTGTTGAAGGTGCATTTTTATTCAAACTCAATTAAATGAGCAAAACTATACGTTTGTGGACATTTGAGATCTGCCTAGATATGCGCGTTTCGTTTTATTATTCTGCAATCCATTTTTAGTATTACCCGCTGGCCCGGCCCGGCCCGACTTTTCTTGGCCCGACTTTTAGGCAATCCCGTGAGGCAACATGCAAATCCATGACCATAGCTCCTTTGTGAGATGATGACAGTTCACTAAGGAGAGCGTTGATATAGACCAAATACAGTTTGGCAGACAAAACACTGCCTTGTCTGACACCTCTGTCCAATTTGAACCAGTAAGATTTGGTGTTGTTTACGGAGACACAACTCGTCATTCCACTGTACATGTTGTTAAACAGTTTCCATAATGCTTTGTTTATGCCAAGATGATGTAGTTTCCAGAGAAGTCCAGAGTGCCACACCGTGTCAAAGGCCTTAGCACTGTCTAAAAAGACCACTTTGATATTATCTTTTCTTTCTAGATAATGGTGTACAGTTTCCTGGATTAGAAAAGAAGCGTGGGAGGATGAAAGGCCCTTTTGAAATCCGCACTGCTGTGAGTCTGGAAATGACTTAGAGTTATAAATATCAGGTAGTCTTTTGCTAACTACAGTTTCAAATAACTTAAAGATAACAGGCAATAGAGTAACTCCTCGATAGGAGTCTGGTGACGTTTTTGGTTTTCCGGTACCTTTATAAATTGGAATAACAGTCCCACTTTTCCATGACTTCGGCATGTATCCAGATTTTAAGATTCTGTTAAACAGAATCGATAGGTAAAAGTATAACTGGTTTCCACCGTGCTTTAAATGTTCATATTGAAGCGCGTCAAGACCAGCAACTTTATTTGTCTTTAATGACTGACATAGTATTCGGATTTCATTCGTGGAGGTCAAAAGTAAAGTCAAATAAAATGCATTTTTACAGGTGTGGATCGAGGCAGCTATTCAAGTGTTTTACTCCCTTGGTCCAGCATGGGGATCGCTAATGACTATGTCTAGTTTCAATGACTTCAACAACAACTGCTTCAGGTAGGTGTCATGTTGTCGTGCAGGTATACACACCTGTATACGAGTAAGGGAATACTGCATGTCTGCATCTATCTACACAATACTGTCATATCCAGAGATCATTACTTATAGGGCATAAAAGACCACGTGGAAATTCCAGGTAAGAAAGGGTCTCCAGATCAAACCTGTGCTGGCCGTAAGAGGCTTAATGGATTGGGTGGTCAGACTCGACTACTTGTTTGAAAGTGTGTCATCATACTCCGCATACACAGCATGGATCGTAGCTCTCAATGTCATTGGATTGTTTGGTACAGACTGGAATATTTACAGACCGCTTTCGCTTGCTTGCTTCGAACAGTCACAGCTGAAACATCAGTTGCTTATCAGTATTAATAAATAAAGCTGCGTTGCAGTCATGTGTATATAGGTATTGTGCAACGTATTCACAACATTCTTTCACCGATCCACGCAGCACACATTTTCATCCTGCTTTTGGGTTATGCGCATAATTACTCTTGTATCTCATTCGAGTCAAATGAATAACTCATCATACAGATTAGGGTCAGTAAACACACGGGGCTTTAGAACCAAGATTCGTTGGATCATATCGGTGTCTACTTGCGTTTCATGTTTACATAATCAAATATTGACAAAGTGTATGAATGTGAGTCGCTATGTATTATTTTCTCTTCATGAAAATAGAAATTTAAATAGATGAGGTTGATAGATATTTTTTAAATGTCATGGCGATGGTCTGTAAATAATCAGTCTGGACCAGACAATCCAGTGAATGACATCATGAGAATAGGCCCATTCAGTTAGGAAATTAGCAATCAACCTAGTCACCGAAACTGATCCGTTTAGTCGTCCCTTGCGACAAGAATAGTTTGTTGGGGACATACATTCGGACCAGGAATCCCTATGGGTTCCATCTAGCAGTGCCTGCATTCCCTGGATATAACATGGTACAAGTATGTTATGTGCATGACATGCGACCACTACTCCATGAATATAACAAAACCCCAAATTCAAAACTCAAACATATAACATTGATACAATCCAAATTGCTCTTTTCGTCAAAATTAATCATGTATGTAGTGGCACACGCCGTTGTCTTCTACACAGGAAAGGTCCGTCTTTTGATTACAAATGAAACTTCCGGTCCTAAATCGTTCAATAGCACTCGCTTATCTGAAAAACACATAACGTTTATCATCTCCTGACACCACCACATACGATTGTGACGTATGTTCAGTGGCAGGGGGAAACCGCTATTGTTTGTTACATAATGAACAAGAAATATGGTCTTTGTGTTTGCAGTTTGGGATGGTTGAGAATCTTGTAGCCGGCATCATAGACGCCTTCCCACGACGCCTTAGCAAATACAGGACTTTAGTCACGGCAGGCGTGTCTAGGACCTTTTCCTACTTGGCCTTCCGATCACAATGAATGTGAGTCAACTGAAGGGCGTGATTAACAACTTGGAAACTTACTCCAAAGCGAGACAATAGTACATTATTCTAGATCTCTAATTATCACATTCTGGGTATGATAAAGCCAATGGAGGAATACAGAAGTCGTTGAGGAAATGTACGGATATAGATGCAAGTTTAAGGTCAGATATGTACCTTTCAGTGTTTACATACAAACATGATCTTGATCGGCGATCGATTCATAAGTGATCTTGACGGATCTGGGCAAGTTAAGGATAGTTTCTGACAGTCCAATTTAAATGTAATTCAGATTAGTCAAGTCAGTGTGACTGATTAGGAAGGATAACATGAACGACTATGAGAGTAGAGTTTTTGACCCGTGTCGGAACAGTTATTGACATGAGGATGTTTTTTAGAGGCAAACTTTAGAAAGAAACACAATTATGTTTGTCGATGAGATGTTTCCATCTCAAAATACCCCATAAATTTAATAGTGTGACTACAGTTCGGGAAACTGATCCCTAGATTATCGCCCTTGGATAATCACTCTCAGAAATAATGGAGTTTACCTGTCCTGTATGATTGAAAATCCGGCAAAATGTTGTCGTAGAATATCAAAATTAAGGGTACATTTGTTTGAACTTTCACTCGGAATAATCCTTATTCTATATAATTTGAGTCTCTTCACCATATTTGAGACCTGTATTTCCAGGGAGGAATCTACATCTTCCAGTTGATGGACTGGTTCACGACAGCATTCTGTTTGTTTGTCTGCTCCTTCCTGGAATATATTGTAATTGGCTGGATTTAGGGGAAGTTTTTGAATACAAACTCACTTCCAAGGATTATTTGTTATATCAGTCGCCATGTGTGCATTACAGTCCCATACAAACAGAACAATGCTTCACTCATCTGCATGTGTTTTTTCTGAAGTTCATCTTTTAATAAACTCTCGCAACGAATTTTATGACCAGTATGTTTTGTTCATATCAATACAGCCAATGTCAGAGTCATGTTTTCTTCTACAGGCTTGCAACTTTCATGGAACATAACAAATCCTGCTCCTTCACATACAGAAGGCATGTCAAGGTTAACGTTTTTGTGAAAAGCATTCATTACTAATTACTGCCGTACCTTTACTTGTGCAGTCCTGCGATGTGGTAGTTGGAAGCATCTCTGTCAAGATCATAGAAGGATTGGCAATATCGTGACCTTGAGTGTGTTGCCTGATGTGACAGTAGTTCATGTTTAGACTATATTTATAAAAAGAAAAGAAAAACTTTATCTATTGCCATATTAAGTATCCTTTGCAACACGACAATGACAGTGTGTTTGATATTTCTGTCGTCAACGTAGGCGTCTATCTTGACTTAATGTCTATCATGTTATGCATGTTGCAGACCATCTTTATCGTCACGTTGAGTGCCTATCAGATGCCAACCTACGATGGGTACACATATCCAGTGATAGCTCGTGCCATCGGCTTTGTATTCGCTATGCTGCCTATCATCCCTTTGCCTTTCATCATGGTGCTGGAGCTGAGCAAAGCCAAGGGCACGTTGTGGGAGGTGAGCTTCCCAAAGCCAGCCAGATTTGCAACTTGGCCTGGCTGTAACCTGATGTATCTTGTTCTGATCGTTTGTCTTGCTCCTACAAAGACCGCCTTACAGACGCATGACTTTATATTAGAATTGTAACTTATGTGGGATGAGATGAGGTCAAATGGGGTTAAACTTATATAGTGTGTGCGTATGTGTGTGTGTGTGTGTGTGTGTGTGTGTGTGTGTGTGTGTGTGTGTGTGTGTGTGTGTGTGTGTGTGTGTGTGTGTGTGTTTGGCTGCATGTACTATTCCAGACTAATGCCGACTTTATATTGCTAGCCCACTGAGGTACCATGCTGCAGTTTATATATTACCATGAATATCCCACACATACACTGTATACTGACTCCCCTTAATGCGGAGCACCAGGTACCAGGGGGAGACAAAAATGCAAAAAATGCAAAAACATCAAATAAAAACACCTTGCAACAATATCATTATTGTTTCAGATCATTTGTACAGTATGTTCAACAGTATGAAGGACGTTTTTTCAATCACCTTCTGAGACCTTCTGATAATCGGTCACCAAGGACTTCCTTGCATATCTGTAATATTCGCAGTAAAATACTAAATACTGTTGATTAATTATGCTTGCATGCACACAAATAGTTGTTACCAGGTGCCAAAATAGGAGAGCCTGCACAAATATTTCACAGTAAAAATACCTTTAGAACGTTAACATATTCCAGATCATTTCTTAAAAAACAAATATTTTCAAGAAAATCAGCATCAATCATAGCAAAGTATATATTGAGGGTATGAAATGTGGTGCCTGGTTGAATTGTACTGGCCTAAAGTTTCTTCACCTTTCTGATTGACATAAAACTCTGACATCAGAAATAAGTGTTCGTCAACAGTGTCCAATTTTGATTAATCGCATTGATTACACAAATTAAAATATTAATTAGAATAATTGAGAATAATTGATAACTTTTGTGAAATATAAAAATGCACTTACTCTCGACGCTGGGTAAAGTCATATTTCTTCTAAGATGCTAAATTCTATCTGATCATTGTTTTGCCACTGCAATCATTGAATTCTTCAGTTTCTCGAACTTCTTCTGTTTTACCAACTATATTTCTAATTTTCTGTCATTTCAGATATTCCTCTTCACATTGCGACCTGCTTCTGACTGAAAACCATCAAAGAAGGAGTACCAGCATGGTTATAAAACTGAAGGTCATGAATTTGTTCTGCCACTGACGTCTCTATTACCACGTCGAAAACAAGTTCGCCAAAAGTGAGCATTCCATTGATGCGCATATCTTTAATGAGGAATTCACTATCACTATTTGGAATATGCTTGTAATTTGATACATTAATGGCTTTCATCTGTTGCCTGCGACAGGTGAATTATGTAAATCTATTAATTAAAGTCGTTTAGTTGAATGTGACTTTGTTGCGTTTTTTTATATCTACTTACATATTGACTGAATATTGGTCAACAAAAATTAAAATTTAAAATACAATGGATAAAGAATCTAAAGCCGTCAATACACAAAGGGATACTGGACTCTCATGGTACTAGACAAAGGAGATTTTGGTATGAGAATATCACTATTCCAATAGCTACAGCTTTATGAGTATATAATACCAACAAAAAAAGGAACTACATGTACTGATTCGAATGTACATGTAGCTATCGTTGAGGTTTACATAATACCGTGGCGTTGCATTTGAATGCAACATCTAATCACAATGGAATTTCACATCATGCATGAACAGCACGTGTTACACGTGCACACAGAAGCTAAACTGTATGTGGCTATAGAAGAACCAACAATCACTAATGCATTTGAACTAGTTTCACGCTTCAAAATACCCCCGAGACAGTATCTCGATGAACTGACGAAATGGCCAGTGGTGGGTTGTGCGCCAAAGCTATTACATCATGTTTACAGACATGCCTCTGATGCCCAGGTGGCATATAACTTTTTTGCCCGCGATGTATTCATTAAAATATTGAGTAAAGTTTGTCAAATTGAAAAACATATTGCCCACAAATCAACAGAGTCCATTGTTATCACAAGAAACCCAAGCAACTGACTTCCACCTCTGCACAAAACTAGCGAAGCATTCATAGAATATTTTGTTTCTGTCTTAGTCTCAGGACTGTCTACTGTCTACTTCAAATGTTGTAAACAAGCCCTCCGCCATTAGATTTTTCATGCCAACTGCCTTGAATGTAAATGTATTATACCACACTATATATTTGTTGCCATGTACTTTGAAATGGATGGCATTTCTTTCACAAAACCACGCTTCAGAATAACAGTTAACTGCACAATCAGTAAACGTTAACGCTGACAGATCGCAGATACAAATGCTATCGATTGGAATGTTAATAATAAAGTCAAGCACACCTGTATATTACAATTCAATAACCACGTGCACACGGTCGACTTGTTTTGATATGCGTTTGCGACTATGTCACTCCATGACATTAAAGTTGATTTAATGGGAATGGGTAAATAGCTTTCAAATAAAATGTTGGAAAGGTAACCTGCTCATGCAATATAGCAACAAAAAATATACCGTCCTTGGTTCTTTGGTGAACATTGGTAATACTTATCACATCGAAATTAGTTCAACTACAACTTGAATAGTACACAAATAGAATTCCCCATATCAAGCTGTAATTTATCTCACCCCAATCACTGTTTTGATTCCTTGATAACATGTTTGCCAAAAACAACAATAAAAACTTAGATGACATTTCATTTTTCCATACCATTAGGTCAGCGATAGAGGTTATTTCCAGAGAATTTATATGATTAGGGACATGCGGTTGTCGCTTTTATTTACGCCACAATCAGCACATCCTCTCGAGGCAAGAGTGTACACTAGCCCATATCAAATCCAAGTATCCACCCTTGCCATTTCGAGGCTAATTTTCTTGGCTCAAGCTGTGTGATGGAAACTCGACATCTAATCAGATCGATATCCTTCTTTGGAATGGCTTCACAAAGACTAGCAGAGCATAGGACCTGGTCGAGCAAATAAAGAAACGGTTTGAGATCTCAACCCTGACAGACAAACAAAACAAGACTGCTCGGTGAAGAAACTTCTTACTGTCGTATTTCGCTCTTACAATAATTGAGGCACTGCTATTGCAATGACAGGAAACGTTCAGCAGGGATAGTGTTAAACTAGCACTTCTTCTCAGACACTGTGGTAAGCGTTCCTGTTGTTTGTGTTAACAGAAAATAACGAAGTTTGCTCTCCAATATATAAAAAAAACACTTGGGCGAGTTGATTGAAGACTTTGAACGACTTCGAAAATATTGTCTTTGCTAAAATTTTCGAATATTTTTAGCGCAAATTCGACAGGCGACCAGTCCTCTCATAGCATTTCTCAGAAACGTAGGCTTCAAATGGCAAGGGTGAAAACTAAACTTGGGCATAGGCTAGAGGATAGCTTGGCCTCGTGAAGACGCAATCAGGAGTAAGCTGTCTCAAGGTGGCCTGACCGTTATCAAATCAGTTAACGAAAAGGTCCCTAGTTCCTAACGCTTGTCCACAGACCGGTGGAAATCATAATGAGGCGATCAATCTCGGTTTTAGGACTGACCGAGCATGCTCAAGTACCCTGATAGTGTGTGTGGTAGCCTAAAATTTGTGCAGTTCCCCGTGATGTAGCTCGCACACTGCTGATTACATTCACGTGGTTTTTCTGTCAGCTCATGCTACAGGGAGGGCACGTCCCTGTCGTATTCCGGATTCGGAATCCACGTGGGATCTACTAACTACGTGTTTCTGGTATACATGTTATCCCTGTCACGTATCCTTATTGTGAAGGATTTGGATATAAAAAGCATTAGTTCTGTTTATTAAAAGAGTAAGTGAGTGAGTGAACATGGTTTTACGCCGCTTTTAGCAATATTCTATCAATATCACGGCGGGGGACACCAGAAATTCGGCTTCACACATTGTACCAATGTCGGGAATCGAACCCGGGTCTTCGGCGTGACGAGCGAACGCTTTAACCACTAGGCTACCCGACCGCCCGGTTTATAAAAAAAGAAATACCACGGGTATGTATAAAGTTAAAATAATTTCTCATATTATGGGTAAGTTTCCAGACAGGATAAAGCCAACGGAAATAAACGTTATCCGTTTGGGTCATGTACGGATAAAGATGCAAGTATAAAAGGTCAGGTAGGTACTACTTTCAGTGTTTACAAACAAACATGGCGTCGCCCTTGCCAGTCGGCTCGTTAATACAATGTTTATTCCTCATTACCTTCCGAAAACACACTCGCGTGTTTACCTCTGTTGATCTGTGTCGTGTTTGAATTGCAAGAATTAAGACATATTTCCATGAGCATTCAATGAGAAAATAGAGGGTACGGGTGGCCCAGTCGTCTAAGGCACCACATTTTGCTGCGTCCCTTGGTCACACCAAACACCTATGAATCCCGGTTCGCCCCGATTATGTTTCTAGGTTTGTCAGCACCAAAGTTCCCACAGTTAAGCCCAACTCAATCACTCGATACTGAGGAAATAGATTGTCCTATGCTGGTGCGTTACAAACCCGTCGGCACATATGTGTCATGGCAGCTGTTAGCAAAATACACAATTAAGCAGTTTGCTTATCTCGTCGCTTAGACTAACATACAGTCCCTGAAATAAGGTTCTGTATATGGTTCTGTATATAATGAAGTTAGAAAAAGTATATAAAAGAACCCTCAAGGCCCTTAAATTTAGAGCTGAAAAGGGAATGGACAATGCCTGCAAAATGATAGCAGTGACAGTGGAGTGGGGGATGAATGTTGTATTAAACATATATCCTCTGGTGTCAGGTTTTAAACCACTTTCAAAAGTCACACTGTTTTCAGACGACATCCGGTTACGATCATGATCACAAAAGGAGTGAGAGAGAGTATTATTATATCATGTGATTATGATAATGTGATATATACCATTAAAACAAAGTAGGGGATACTCCGAAATAACATAAAATTAGATATAACTCTGCACAGCGAATTGCGGCGCCTTGCGGATTTCTGGGTTAACATATTGTTTCAATTTGGGAATCGACGTGTAACAATATGAAACATTCTAGTTAATTGTGCACACATACATAAACATCTCATGACAGATGAATTGGTGCCTTGATATGCAACAAGAAAGAATCTTGTTTATTTCCAGGCCATCCTGATCATCGTTTACTTCTACTGCATGCATGCTTGGAGGCTAGATCAAAGACGCCGCCTAGCATTTATTAGGCAAACGACAGTGACCTCCATTTCGCTTTGAACCACCACCCCGCTATGTCGGTAAGAGTAAACTAAGCGGTGCGCAAATAACTGTGTCAAGCCTACCGCAGCGTTTGTGTCGAATGTTTTTTTTATAGATGGGGACAATTTTGTTGTATATCGTACATTTCTGTTATTAACAGTCCTGTTATTTGCTGATATTACCGACAGTAAGTTAGGTAGCTAGAAGATACACTGACTGCTGCGTTCCTTATGTAGGCTAAGCGGCACTGTTTGTGGAAATATGTATTAGAAACATGTATAAGACAGTATAAGGTACTGGAACCGAAATATAATATACCTAGGAAATATCTCATAAATAGATGATGGTTGTGCACTGAAATGTTATAACGTTGGATCTTGAGGGCGAAACATTAAAGTGTCTTATGATACACGAGGAGTGGGGACACTGGCTGGGTTACACCAAAACATGCGGTTTGATACTGACATTTGGCGAATTAGAGAAATTAGGTAAATAAGCAACATTATAATGCCTAAATACCTTACAGATTGAATGATGACACAAATTGAATTAGCTTTTAATCAGTACTGATTGTACTCTACAGCTTTCCAGTGCACATGCAGTGTCCCAAAATATGAAATTGCATAGACACTACCAAGTTGTTTGACTTATTTGAGTTGTTGACTGACGAATAACAAATATTTTCATCCTATGCGTATGCCTTCATATATACGTACAACAATTGTAAATATACTACCTGTGTAAAACATTATAAAGCTGAGAACTGAGGAGATAAATATTACTCGCATTCACACAGGGAAGCAAGTTATAGTAGATATAGTAATGAATGAAACTTGAAACGTTACAAACTCTCTGCTGCGTTCACATGTAGTTTCTGCGGAGGCTTTTCTCATTCTAGTGTATGTTACAAAAGAACAAGTGAACACATGATATATAATTCATCCATTTTTTGTTTAACTTCAACACATTTATATCAAGAATAGGCTTATTAATAAGTCCATGGATAATGCTGTGTTGCACGTTTTGGTTTTGTTTCCATTTTTACAGTATATACTGTAACAAAGTAAGAGAAGGTCTGGGAAATAGGAATCCCCTTGATAAGTACCAAAATAACAACTG